ACAAAACAAGGATGTCCATTATTACCACTCCTGTTCTATAAAAATACTCAAAGTTTAGCCAGAGCAATCAGACAAGAGAAAGAAATAAAAAGGATACATATAGTAAAGGAAGAAGTCAGATTATCATTATTTTCAGATGACATGATCTTTACATATAAGACTCCAAAAATTCTATCGACTCCTAGAATTCATAATCAAATACAGCAATGTATCACGATACAAAATCAACACACAACAAGCAAAACCATACCTGTGTACCAATAATGAATTCACCAATAAAGAATTAGGAAAATAATATTATTAACTGTATCAAGAAAAAATTAAACACTAAGGAATTAACCTAACCAAGGAAGTGAAAGACCTCTACAACGAAAACTACAGTACTCTGAAGAAAGAAAGAAAAAAAAAAGATTTGATAAAGGACAGGCAAAACCAATATGATCGAAGTGGTCATACTCCTAAAATTGAGATACAGATTTAATGCAATCTCAAGCAAATTACCAACAGCAATCCTCACAGAACTAGGAAAAACAAACTGAAAAGTTAAATGGAACATAAGAGATCCAGAATAGCAAGAGCAATCCTGGGCAACAAGAGCAAAGCAGGAGGGATTACTTTCCCAGATTTCAAGTTAAATTACAAAGTCGGAGTGATAAAAACATTATGGTACTGGCTCAAAAAACAGACATGTTTGTCTGGGGATTTAGCTCAGTTACACCACCACCTACCTAGAAAGTACAAGGTCCTGAGTTCAATCCCCAGTACCAAAAGAAAAGAAAAAAGAAAACTGACATGTGGATCAACTGAACAGAACAGATTATGCAGAAACCACCCCAGGTACATTCAGTTACCTGATCTATGACCAAGGGACCAAAACTATATGCAAGAGGAAAGATAGCCTCTTTAATGAATGGTGGTTAAAAATACCAATGATACCACATGCAAAAGATTGTATCTAGACTCGCATTCTTCTCAACATGTAATAAACTAAAACCAAAATGGATCAAATACCTAAATAATGAAATGGAAATAATTTGCTAGATGGTAAAACTCTTGAAGATATAGGTATAGATAGGCAAGGTTTTTCTGAAAAGAACTCAAATTATGTAAGAAGTAATACCAAGAATCAACAAGTGGGATCATATCAAATTAAAAAGCATCTGCACAGCAAAGGAAAAAACCAACAGAGCAAAGAGAATACCTATAGAATGGGAAAAAAATTTTCCCAATTGCATCTTAAAGAGATGATTAATATCTAGAATGTATAAAGATGTAAAAAAAAATTAGACCCTCAAAATAAAAGACTCAATAAAAAAGTGGGCAAGTGAAATGAAATGATACTTTTTAGAAGAAGTACAAATGGCCAATAAATACATGAAAAAAATGTTCAACATCACTGGCCATTAGAGAACTACAAAATGTAAAACCACACTGAGAATAGAACAGAAATCACACTGAATAGAAATCTTATTCCAGAAATCAAATAATAACAAATGCTGGAGAGTATGCAGGAAAAAAAGAACTCTTCTCCATTGTTTGTCAAGTGTAAACAGTACCACTGTGGAAATCAGTAAACAACTATGTTACAAACTGTGTGCTAAATATATCTTTCCTCCTTCAACTTTGGGTGTCAGATATTTTGTCTTTGTAACTAGAAAGTAGCTAAAACAGGAAGGGAAAGATAGGAAGGGAAGGGTAAGTAAAAAGTATTAAGATATGTTATATACATACACCAACTCCCAATAAAAAATGCAAAATTGATACTAATTCATATTAAGAAATATATGAAGTAATGTGATAAAAAGATATACCTATTTGCACTGTTTTCAGTACTTGAAGCACATTAGCCCTTATCTTTCGCTCATTACCTTCCTAAATACTACCCCAAATTCACACAAAATGAATATAATAAGAGGTTTACTACACCTATTCACTTTTGGGGTATCTTAGATTACCTGCTATGGCAGTAGAAAGTTTAACAGACACATGTAAATTTTGGCTTAATAGCAAAAATAATCAGTACTATGGTTGAATGTAGTTTATCCCTGAGGGTTCATATGTTGGAAGCCTGGTCCTCTGTCTGGAAGTGTAGAAGTGGTGAGAACTTTAAGAAATGGTCTTACATGGGCCGGGGATTTAGCTCAGCGGTTCGGTAGCCTGCCTCACAAGCGGAAGGACCCGAGTTTGATCCCTGGCACCAAAAAAAAAAGAAATAGAGTCTTATAGAAGATCCTTAGGTCACTTCGAAAGAAGTTCTTATAAAAGTCTAACACTGATCTCTAACTTTCTACCTCCACAGGTATGAGCTAAATAAATCTGTTTTCTTTATAATGCAACCCAGCCTCAGATATTTAATTACAATAAAAAGGGATAATATAATGCATGCTAACTGATACCAAAGGATATGTATTACTCAAACACATTTAAAATTCCCTTTTTAATTAGTTAATAATATATTTATGCTACACAACACAGTGTCAAATAGTTTTAAGATAAATAATTGTGAGTTCATGAGAATTACTCTACTGAAAAACCTCTAAATCATCAAAAGTTAGAATATACAAATTAAGAAGCAATGTGACAGAAAACTTCAATACAGAATAGATTATACAGAACCCATGTTAGAAACTTTGCTTTCTTTGTTGGTAAACATTCCTTTACTTAAATTTCAAATGTTGTGGAAAATTTCAAAGAACAATACAATAAATAACTCCACCTACATTCAACATTTGTGAGTATTCTGCTAGAATGCTCTCCTACATCCTTCCCCACCTTTTCTTTTCTCCCTGCGCAACTGTCTTATTATTAAGTACTTTATTGTTGAGAAAGCCACCATAATCAAATATACTGACACTTCTACAGAAAAACAAATAACACTAAGGAAGACAAAAATCGTAGTCTTATAAACTCAACTCAGGTATGCAACTAAATGAGTTCAGAATAGTACATTAAAAGGATCATTCACCACGATAAAGTGGAACTTATCCCTGGGATACCAGAGTGGCTCAATATATGCAAATCAATACATGTGATATACCACATAACAAAATTAAAGACAAAACTCATATGATCAGTTCAATAGATACAGGAAAGCAAGACAAGAGTCAACATTCTTTGATGATTAAAAACTCTCAACAAATTAGGTATTTAGGGAATCTACCTCAACACAATAAAGACCATATATGACATTCCACAGCTAGCATTAGATATACTAACATCTTTAGAAAACCCTAAAGATGGCACTACAAGCTATAGTAACTGATAAACAATTTGGAAAGTTGTAGGATGCAAAAGCAATATAAAGAAACCAGTAGTATTTCTATACACTAACAATGAACTACCCAAAAATGAAATCAAGAAAGCAATCCCATTAACATAAACTAGAAGAAAAAATAAAATTCTTAGGAACAAATTTAACCAAGGATGTGAAAGCACATTAAAACAATACTGAAAAACTCCATGACCTCAGTCTGGGCAATAATTTTTTTTTTATTTGACTCCAAAGTTTAAGAAAGAAAGAACAAAAGAATAGCAAAGAAAAGTAATTGGGACAAAAGCAAACTAAAACCTTTGTACTATATAAGAAAAAAAATCAAAGAAAAGAGACTCTTCTGGGATGGGAGAAAAAGTTTCACAAACCACACACTGGATAAGGGGTTAATGGAAAACACACAAAGAGTTCAAACAACTTGATAAGCAAGAAAACAACCAAATTGTAAAATAGGCAAAAACCTGAATATATTTTTCTCAAAGACCTACAAGCTAAAGGGTATATAAAAAAATGTTCAACACCACTAACCATCAAAGAAGTGCAAATTAGAACTATTATGATATATTAAGTCACACCTGTTAGAATGGCTATTATCAAAACAATGAAAAGTGTTTCAGGAGGATGTGGATAACAGGAACCCATGCATACTATACAAGCATTAAGGAAAACACTACAGAGGTTCCTCAACAACTTACAAATAGAACTACCTTTTAAAAAAAGGTATATGTTGTTGACATATACATTATCTTGATCATTTTAATCTCCCTAGCTAGCCTCTTCTTTTCCCATTCTCCTCCTGATCTCCTTCCCCATCTCCAAAAAGTCTACCTTCCCATTTCCAACTAGTCTCCTTTATGTTACTCATTATTTTATTTACATTTTATGTGTTTCATATAAGAGAAACCATTGCAATATTTAACTTTCTGTGTTCAATTCATCCACTTTCCCACAAATTTAAAACTACTACTTAATCTAGCAATCCCACTACTGGCATATATCCAAAGGAAATGAAATCAGTAAATCAGAGTTACATGCATACTTAGGTTCACTGCAGCACTATTCACAACACCCAAGGTAGTCAATGTGAACATCAACAGATGAAGGAAGAAAATGTAGCATACATACACAGTAAATACACAGTACTATTTAGCCTTAAAAAGTAGAAAATCCTGCCATTTATGACAAGATGGTTGAACCTGAAGACTATTATATTAAGTAAAATATGACAGACACAAAAGTATAAAAATACAAACACTGTAAGATCTCGTGACAGACTGTAAGATCATATGACAGACTGTAAAAAGGGTCAATTTCATAGGAGAGGACAGCATGATGGTGTTTACCGTGGCTGGGGATGTTGAGTAGGGGGTGTAACATTAGGGAGAGGTTGGGCAAAAAATGCAAAATTTCAGATATGAGGAATGACTTCAAGAGATATACCATAAAGAGTGTGACTAGTTAATGACAATGTATTATATACCTGAAATTTATGTAGTTATATTTCAGTGTTCTTGCCACAAATACATGATAAGCACAAGAGGTAATGGACGTGTTAATTACCTTGATTTACATTTCACAATACATACATGGTCAAAACACCATGCTGCACACCATAAATATATGCAATTTTTTCAATTAAAACAAACATAAATAATTTTTAAATACTGCAAAAATATGACCAAAAAAGTAAGTAAAATATATGTTACAATTAAAATAAAAGTTTACATACCTTGGCTTCTGAAACACTAAACTATATTGTTGGCAAGCGAGACCCACAGTGGGAGTATAAACAATAGGCATGAATTTTTCAACATCAGACATTAGTACTCTATAAAAGAGCTTTTCATTTCTATCCTGAAGATCCATTAAGAGAAGATACCTATGGAAATTAGGCATAATTAGATCTATGTCTAATACTCATTAAATACTTTATAAGAAATCTAAACATTTTTCAATCAACTACAAAGTATTTTTAAATCACAGAAAAAATCTAAACATAAAAGAATTTAGAAATATTCTTAAACACCTCAAAGAATAAAGAACAATACACATTAACTATCATTTAAATATTAAAGTCATTGGTTAAATAACACCATCTTATTCAATACTTGAAGAGACTATCCCTATTTTAAAATAACTAGTGAAAATATCACTAAAGATTTAGTTTAACCATTAATTAAATAGAAAGACTTAATCTTTTAACTTCCAGTACTGAATAGCCAAGACAAATGACAAGCAGGAAATGAGGAAGGGAATGTAACACTCACATTACAAATGACTTAAGGTGGGCCAGAGATTTAGCTCAGTGGTTCTGTTGCCTGCCTCGCAAGAGCAAGGACCCAAGTTCAATCTCCGGTATAAAAAAAACAAAAACAAACTTAAGGTACAGCTGGGGTGGAGTTCAGTGGGAGAGTACTTGCCTAGCATGTGTGAGGCCCTGGGTTCAATGTCCAGAACCAAAAAACAGTAATTAAGGAAGGCAAGCCGAAAGGTCTTTTCATACTATCTACATCTAATGGCCTTTTTATCTAGAGACATTTCTGACCCAAAGGTATCTTTCTAATCACAAACCTTTTCATGTTACCTATAACCTTCAACAGCTTATTGAATAAAACTTCTTACTGCAATTGAAAAGAATCCTGAAGTACTTTACTCAACAACCTCACCAGCATTTTGGGATTGATGTTTTATTATTGTTTAGATATGAATTGAGTATGTCTTCAACGAGTTCATGTGCTAGAAGTGTGCTCCCCAGTACGGCAATGTGAAAGGTGGAACCTTGTAGAGAGGGGGCCCAGTGAAAGGTAGTGAGGTCAATGGGGAAATGTCTTTGCATTAATGTAGTTCTCATAAGATCCAGGTTAGTTTCCTCAAAACAGAACTGTTACAAAAAGAACAATTTTAAAAGACCGAGCTGGGCATGGCAGCACATTTATAAAATCTTGCTTTCTGGGTGGTGAGGAAGGAGAATAATAAAATCAAGCCCACTCTAGACACCTTAGCAATTGAGCAAGATCTTGTCTCAAAATTTTTAAAAATTTACATTTTAAACATTTAAAAGGGATAAGGATACAACTCAGTGCAAAGGGTCTAGGTACAATCCCCATTTTATACATACATTCATACATACACATACATACTTAGACAAGATTGGTCCTCCCCAGCTCTCTTGCTTCCTTTCCTGCCTTACGAGCTCTCCTTCATAACTGTGCTTCTGTCATGATGCCATCTGCCTATGCATCATGGGCAAGGTGGCTTTCACTAAAGGCCAAACAGATGGGGCTGCTTGATCTTTGACTTTGTCTTCAAAACTGTTATCTAAATAAACCTGTTTTCTTTACAAAGTTTCTAGCTTTAGGTATTTTGTTATAGCAACAAAAATACACTAATATATTTCATTCCCTACAAGAGTTGAAATACACAGAATTAAGAGGAATTAATGGATTTTAATGCAATTAGACAAATATAACTCTAAAAATAAACATTTGAAGATGGGATAAATTGTAGACATTCTAAAATGTATTTATCAAAGTAGAAATCATAACTGCTAATTCAGTGGTAGATTCTTATACCTTGCCTTACTTATCAAAACATTTGACATGAGTGGCATTGACTTCCAATCCATCATATTCTTTTTCTCCTATTTCACTGGCCTTTCCCTCCCGCTCTCTTTCCCCCCCTCTCATTCTCTCTCTCTGTATCTTTTTCCCTTCTCTGAAAGCTAACATTTACATGTAGTAAAATAGGAAATTACACAGCTTTGCCTTCAAAATATATCTAAAATCTGACCACCTTTATTACTATCACCATGAATGCAAATCAACATCATCCCTTGCCTGGATTATTGTATCAGTGTCTTAAAAGTTTTCAAAGTCTATATTCTATCATTGCCACTGCACATGGTATTTCTGAAATACAGCTCAGAATATGCTGGTCTGTTTAAAAACTCAAGAGAGTCCCCTTTTCACTCACACTAACATCAGAAGTCCTTTAGTGGTCTCTCATCAGCTTGCTAATTTCCTTTCCTAATTTAAAACTCTTCCCCTAGCCCATTCTTCTTCAGACACAAGTCTCCTTGCTGATTCTTGAACGTGGCAGCTATAGAACACTTCTCCTCATGCCTAATACTCTTACTACTTTTGAGTATTTCATCAAAACTCATTATCCCAATGAAGGCTACGTTTATCGCCCAATTTAACAATTCAATGTGGCCGTCCCTATCCCCAGCATTGTCAGTTCTTCTTTTCCCTTTTTTCTAGTCTCATAACTTTGTAGTTTATTACATAACTTACCTTTTTACTGCTTATAAATTTTTAATAATTTTAAGTATTTATGTAAATTTCACAAAGGTAAACCATAAGCTGGGTGCTTTATCAACAAGAGATTTATTTCTCACAGTTCTTATGGTTGGAAGTCTAAAATCAAAGAGTTAGATCACAGAGCCAGTTCTGGTGATGCCCTCTTCCAGGTTACAAACAGCTGACTTCTCATTGTATCCTCATATGGTAGAAAATGAAGGGAGCTAGCTCTCTGGCCTCTTCTTAGAAGAGCATTAATCCTATTTATGATGGTTCCACTCTCCTGATCTAATTGCCTCCCAAAGACCACATCTCCAAATACCATCACACTGGGAATTAGATTTTAAAATATGAATTCATAACCGACAGGACATGCAGATATTTGGTCAAATACTTTTCCAGATATTTCTCCAAAAAGGTTTTCATGGGTGAAATTAATATTTAAATTCACAGACTTCGAGTAGCAGATTATCCACAACGTGAGTTAAGTGACATCCAATCAGTTCTAGGCCATTAAAGACTGACTTTCCTTCAACAAAGAGAGGGTTGAAACTGCAACTCTCTCCTGGGTCTCCAGCTCACCAGCCTACCTACAGATTTTTTATTTACCAAGCCTCCCCCTCCTCTCCTCTGTCCCCTTCCCTCTCTTCCTTCTCCTTCTTCTCCTTCCTCTTCTCTTTTCTCTTCCTCCTCTTCTTTATCCTTCACCTTTCTCTTCTTTCTTTCCTCTTTCTCCTCCGTCTTCCTTTTCTCTTCCTCCATATATACAGAACTTTTTCTTTTTTCCATACATTCATATCCTGTGGTTCCAATTCTCTGGAGAACTCTGATTACTTCCAATACCTACTACATCCTAGATTAGCTACTTTTTAAAAATCCTTTAGCATAGTCAAATAGCTATTATTCTTTCTAACCCACATACACACAAAAATGAAGTTTACAGAGGTTCAGTCCCTTAAGAAAGGGCAGGGTAAAAAGCAGGGCAAGGCAGACATGGTAGCCATGGCAGTGGCTGTAGTGAACTGCTAATGGACCCACTGATGATGAGGTACAGACAGGATTTCAATCTAGAAATATCTAACTCCAAGGGTAGAGAAAAATGTTATTTTTTTCTGTGTGCAGACACAAACTGAATTTCTAATAAAATGAATTAAATTCCAAATATATTGCAACTATGCTTGGAGGCTGAAAAATAACACTTTACCTACAATATACTTAAGTATGAGCAAAAGTCAGTTTAGTCATTTTGCTCTGTTTATGATGGCATTTTCTGATAATTTACCTTGATGACCACAATTTTGACATAAGAAAAAGGCAGTCTGAGAGTACAATTTAGAAAACAAATTTTATTTCATTCAACTGTTTCTAGAAAGTGTAAATATTTCTAAAAATCATTATATTTACAAGCAAATTCTCAAAGTTGACTACTTTTTTCAAATCACTAAAACATTTTAACTTTTTCTTACAAAAAAAAAAAAAAGAAAACTTGACAGTTGCTTAAGAGAAATATTAAAATTACATTCAGGAATGTGTTACCTGTCAAAGTCAGAGTTCAGACGTTCAAAATTTTTAACTACTCTAAGGAGCTGAAGGTCCTGGCTGATGAAGCTAGGTGGTAACAATCCATGAATGTTCAATTGCTGTCTTTCTTCCAGAGTGAAAGCCAAGTCCTATGGAAAAAAAAAATTATTTTAAGGGGGATTAAAAAAGCAGATATACATAAAGCCCAGCAGGGATACAGAATTATCCAAAGATCTGGCATCACTCTAAGCATTGCCATGCAACTGCAAATAAAGTATGTAAGCTCTCTACACCTGTTTCTTTATGTATAAAAATTAGAATACTGTAGTCAGAGCTGCATCACTTATATTAGTATGAGAAAATATGGGAAGAAACTACTTGAAGACACATAAATGAAAGAATATATAATCATCATTAATGCACAAACATAAAAATGAAGTTATTATAAGAATTTTAAAATTAAGAGTATCAGTAGGTTAGCTGATACCTGCTATGCTTCCACCTCTAAAACAGGTCAGGAAATGCCTAATATGATTATCAGGTACCTATTTCAACACTTTTCTCTCTTAAATTATTTTCCCCTATTCCTACCCACTCCCTGATACACAAAACTTGCCCCAATTCCTGAACACAACACATCCTCTTATTCTTCTATGATACCATATTCAAAAATGTCTCTTCAATCTTACCTTAAATGCTCTCTTCTCTAATGAGCTGTACATCCACTTCAGCCCCATTATTAAGCCTATGTTTACATGAACACATAATAACAAACTCTGGAGCTCAAAAACCAGCAAATAAAACAGAAATGATGGATTAATAAAAAAACTAGATTGGACCTAAGAGATCTGTTTCTTTCCAAGAAGAAAAAGCAAGGAATCCTCTGAAGTCATTAATGGAAGATAAAGATCTGGTAGATTGTGAGACAGAGTTTCTCTAAAGTCCCACTGGAGATACTGAAACCCAAAAGATTCCTCTGATTAGCCTGTACTGCTCCATCTATGGTCCAGGATAAGGACTGACATGATATGACACTTGTTAGAATTGTCTGGATGTCTGTGTCCTCCCAAAATTGACATGTAGAAACCCTCGCCCCCTTCTTGAGATATGAGTAGGTCATGAGTGCTGTCTGTCCAATGAACAGGACTAATGTCCTTATAAAAGAAACCCTAGAGATCTTGTTTTATAAGGGTGCCATGAGAGGACAAAGACAGATGCCTACAAATCAGGAAGTAAGCCCTTCACCAGACACCAAATCTTCAGCATCTTGATCTGGGGCTTTCCAGCTTTACAACTGTGGGAAATAAATTTCTTTCATTTAAAAGACATCCAGTGCATAGTATCCTATTATCACAGCCCAAAAGGACTAAGCTGGATATGTGCATTGTAATTATTGCTCTATCTAAACAACTTTGATGGGTAGGAACACATTTACTAATTGCACTGAGTGGTTCTATAGCCATCCTCTTCTATCCCTGAAAGTTTTTTTACAATGACAGAATAATGACTCCTGAATCTTAATGAAGTTTATCACTTAAGGGGAAAGAACAATTCGGTTCATTTCTGAGGGAAATGACAGACACTGACTATTGAGGAAAGAACACATTTAATGCCAGGATGTTTATGAAAGAAATCAATGAACAGCCTTCTTTTCCTTCTAATTTTCGACATTGCAAAATCCATTAACACGTCTTTGGTGGAAAGGTTTATGTTTAAATAGCCTCTTGGGTTGGGAGTTGGACTACTGAGAGACAAATATATTTGCCCAATGAATGGCCCCTCTTAAGGCCGAGCTGCTTGCAAAGCCACCAATAGCTCTAGAACCTTTAGTGCAAGAAATTATATACAGTCTTGAATTTTCATAAGGTCTCAAGTGCTATCAGCACAGCTAGCATGTACTTGCAAGGTATTTTTCTCCACTAGCAGCTATTCTCATGTCTGCAGAAGGCCCCACTGCTGTATACTCAGCTCCAATCAATATATGTGGAAAATAAAAGGGTGGTCCCTCTCCAAGAGCATAATCCAGTGTCTTATTGTCCCTGACCCAGCCACCTCCTCTAGAGGCCAAGACAATAGCAGACCAGCACGGTGTGTCAATCCTTTACACAGAAGCTCCACCCAGCACCAGGAGATACCTGGGGTGTTGCCTGAACTCTCTGGTCTTTATTTTGTATTTAGGTGGTGGTGTCCCCACACCAGAATGGAAACTACATGAGATCAAGAAATCTTGTCTCTATTCATCATTTTCTCCCTAGTGCTTAGAACAGTACCTGATATAATTAGAAATCAATAATTTAACATACAAAAAAATAGAATGCTTTAAATATTCAATGTTAGAAATATTGAGCTTTTAAAAAACTACAAAATTACTAGTTGGGAAATTGATTAGCTATTGCTCTGACAAAATCATTTCTAAATTTTAAAGCAATTAAAAAGGACTATTTGTGTGGAAAAGTTTATAAAATGGAAGACATATTTTATTTGTTAAATATGTAACTGGGAAGATTATTTAAAATAAAATGTTATGAAATAACTTGGTGGAATGAAACAAAACTATAAGTAACATATTTGAAAATGAAAAAAATTAGGTTTCTCTAACTAAAAAATGTAAAATGAGAGAAAAGGGTAGGGCATTGTGTACATGTAACAAACCCCTACAAGGAATGTGATTATTATATACTAAATACACACATGCACACTCACACCTTTTTTTTTGGTACTGGGGATCAAACTCAGGTCCTTGTGCTTATGAGGCAAAAGATGGCACCACTGAGCTACACTCACACTCTTGAAGGAGTCCAAGAGATGCAGGGAGAGAGAGGGAGGGGAGGAGAAAAGGGACGGAAAAGAATTAAAATATCTACAGGTACAAATTCCCTATGATGAATGTGATCATTATGTATGACAAATATGTACTTAAATTTTAAAAAGGTATGTCATGTATATGCACAAACTCCCCATGATGAATGTAATCATTATGTATTACAAATAGGCCAAAAAAATATAAAAAAGAAAAAAGTCCAAAAATAGTCACAATGAAGCATTAACTGAATGTTATCCCTGGACAGTATGCCTGAAAAAAAATAACAATCAAAATCTTTTCATAAGTAATAAAATATTCCCTCATTCACTTAAAAATGCAACTAACAATCATGTATTGCGGTGGTTAGTCTTTTTACAGAAATTTTTCACTATCTGATACAAAAATAAGTTTTAAATCTAACAGATATTCCACATCTTAAGCCATGTAACTGATAACACAATCTGGAAATCTTTTTATATTCTTTGATTTGTAGTAACTACAAATTCCCATACTCCCCCCTACTCTGTTCGGAAAATTTTTCAAAAATATACTTACATGCCAGTTCATTTCTTAAAAAAAAACTAGGGCAACTTGTTCAAGACAAAGTTGTATAACTTTGTACCATTATTAGTACCATTTATGAGTTTTTAAAAAATTAATAGCTTAAATCTTACAATTTTTAAATTTCTAGAAATTTTTAAATGAGTAATGTCCTTTCTATCAGTAATTTTTCTTATTAAAATTCATATTCAAAGAGATATGTTTTACAAAAATTTATAAATGTGCCAGTTATATCTAAAATTCAAGAGGTAAATATAGTGTTATCCTACAGGACCACCTACCCATCAAAGGAAAATAAATTCAAAGATATGTGCAAGTTCTAATGCTCATTTGATTTCTGCCAAATCTTTTGTGTACTTGTAAAGATTACATGTCTATGTATATATTAGGTTTCTAGACCACCTTTAATTCTAGCTCTCTAAAAGCATCATCATCTACTTTAAGTTCAACCCTGGTTTTATTTCTTTTCTTTGTCTCTTACTTTTCCTACTCCTTAAGAAGCCATCTGGATCGGATCGCTGGACAGCAGAATGGTATGATGTTTCTCTACAGGAAAATTACTCCAGACTCATATTAAATCAATGTGTATCTTCCTGAAAAATCTAAGACTATCAAGAAGAAATGAAAACTAAATTCCTGGCCTAAAGAGCATGTATTAGAAGTTTGTATGCAGACATAACTAAGAAAGAAACTTTGTCCAGAGTAATTTATCAGAAATTTACCAGAAAAACCAAAACAAATGTACTGGCTCAGTCACCTAGGCTACAAAATTACAATTCAGTCAGGTGTGGTAGCATACACATGTAATCCCAGCACTCTGGGAGGCTAAGCCAGGGGGAATCCCAAATTTGAGCCCAGTTTGGGCAGCCTTAATAACTTAGCAAGACTTTGTCTCAAAATTTAAAAATAAAAGGGCCAGGTATATAGCTCATTGAGAAGGCCCTGTGTTCAATTCCTGATATCACCAAAAAATATAAAATTAAAAAGACTTAATTCAGGAGAAAATTTTCTCATTACTTAAAGGAACAGAATTAAAACAACTAAAGTTTGCTTAGCAAATTGTTGACACATATCACGTTTCAATTTTTTAAAGTACAACTTTGCAAATTATATGGCACAACTTTACTAAAAGTTGCCAAATTATTTCTTCCAGTCAAAAAGATTTCAAAATTCTATGGAGAAATTATTTACATGTAAAGAATACAGAAAGGACTTTATCTTTTTATTATTTATTACTCTACAATAAAAATATAACCAAATTCAAATGTGTGTCTTATTTTCAATTTATTGCCATAGTTAATGTGCATATATGGTATCTACAGGAAGAGAAGTCACACTAATTTGTCCTAGGCACATTTCACTGAAAAGTTCCTTCCCGTAAAGCTTATAGAAGGCAAAAAATAGTATTATGGAATTTTTTAAAAAATTCTAATTAACACACATAACTTAAAAATTTTTCCTAGTGCTATGCAACCTCATATATTCAAAAAAATCACACAAATGGTATAAATACTTTCAAGGTAAACTTTATGTCAGAAAATAACATAAAATGATTATTTGAATGTGCATACCTGTGCAACTAAACTCATGAGTCTCCTTTAAAAGGCAGCAAATCAATTATTTAAAGTCAGTACTATAAAGTCAGGTATGTGGCACATATTTGTAATCTCAGCACTCAGGAGGCTAAGTCAGGAGGATCATGAGTTTGAGAGCATCCTGAACTACATAGTCAGACCCTATATATAATAAAAAAGAAATCCAGTAATATATTAGCCACATTTCTTT